AGCTGGGAAATTAGTGGCATCAACAAAACAAACGCAATGCATACAAATAAACAAACAAATATACAAACAACCGACAGCACGTGCCACGGCAGACATCTTACTCGGATGCGTGACTTTGTATTGAAGAAGGCAATTCCTGCGGAGACAGGTTGTATGAATAATGTCACTTACACTCAGCACAAACATAAACACAAGTGCCAACTCGCACAGTCTGGCTCAAGTGTCTGGTAATTTATTTCGCACCTCTCGGCAACGACTGACAAATGGCACGATAATTTGGCATGACTTTGACTCTAGTATTTCAGTGTCTTCCCACATTCATCATCATAGCTATAGTTGACTATGGAAATTAATTAGATTTTCTAAATTCCACGACGCACTGACTAATCGGTTATTAACTATGTTCAAGCATCTTGTGATATGTTTTGCAGATTTATCTCATCAGAGTTTCAGTTAATGCGGCGATTGGTTAACTAAATTCAATTTAAAGGTGATTCTATATGACTATTCAGACACTGCTCTGCCTCTGTTATGATTTCAATGAATTGCAGAAGCATGATTATATTTTGAATTAATTTTTGCAGGCGTAGATCAAAGTATTAAATGAGAAATGAACATTTGCCACAGTGTGGTGGGAGACAGAAATCAGTGCTGCAACTATGCTTTTTACATAAATCATTATTGAAAATACATAAAACCAGAGCTGAGTGCTATTTAAAATAAATAATCATTTAAAGTAAATAACGTATATGCCATATATGCATTACAAGATTTATTTTGTTATTTTTATGGCAGTGTCCATCGCTTAATAGTACGTTCGTATCCTCCATTCATGAAATATTTAATGACATTCTTGATTTGAGGAGCGGATGTGGGAAGACAATGAAATTGCTTGCTTGGCCGAGACGAAATTGAAGTTCAACAAATTGTCACCATGGGAATGCTAATCAAGAAAACTCTGACCAGGAAATAATTAATTTCAAATCTGCGATAATTGCAAGAAATTATCGCACTCAACTGCAGAAGGTCTAAGTACATTTTACACATTTCTATTGTCTGAAATTAATTTTAAGAGGTACATAAATTTTAAACATAATATTAATTTTCAGTTATAATTGACTATAAAATAAATTAATTGTGTAATAACAAATGTTCATACAGAAACGTTCTTCAAATAAGATGCTTAACTGAAGCTTAATATAATGGAAAGTCAAGAAAGCAGAGGAAGTACTAAGAAAATCTCCGTTGACGTCGTTGGCTGCAAATATTATATTTTTTTCGCGTCATCTGCCAAAAACCATATTTCATTCTTTAATGTTCGAGTGCATTAAAAATTGAATCTCAATGATTTCAAGTCGTTTGAAATTCAAAAGACTCCAGCAGCTGTTGTTCTTGCTGTGCACATTTGCATAATTTTACAACTGGCCTGTAAATTTGTCATCAAAAAAAATACCAAACAAACGTCAGCAGCTGTGGCTTGAAAGTTTGTCCGTTATCGGCGTTATCCTTTTCATTCAGTGTTGCACGCCTGCTGACGCATCCTTTTGAATGAGCTTAGTCATGTGGAAATACTGACAAAGTTATAATAGGCTCCCAATGCACATTAAAAGGTGCAAAAGATTTCTAAAAGGAAACAACTTTAAATGCAAGTCTTGCTTAGTTTTAATGAGCTTTCCTGCAGCAAAGAAACTCTCGTAATTAGCTGAAAGGATAGTTTATATAATAAGAACCCCAACTACTGTTTAATAATAATAAGTTTCAAAATCATCAAGTTAACTTTAAATATGCTACGTTTTTAAATACAACTGATTGAATTAACTTCATCACTCATTTGGTTGTTGTTGCTTAAATAACTGAAGCTGATAAAGAGTAACTAACAACAGATGCTAACATTATTCTTACTGACGACGACAAACAACAAAAATATCTGTGAAAGGCTTCGTTGTTATTTCGATTAACGTTCCACAGTTGTGCGGATAATAGGACTCTGATGTAGAAAAATACAATCACAATAATGGTTGGCGTACACAACTAGACTATTTACGGTTGACTCTAGAATAGAATCCGGAGTCAGAACAGCAATGCACGTGCAAAACCGGAAGTATGGCGAGCATACAAACTTCCTGATCCTTGCAACTAATTCTAGGCGGAAGTATATGTTGCAAAGCAGCGGAAGTGTCTTTTTCTCATCAATGTATAAATGTGCATTCGAACCGAAAAAACCTTGCAAGAATATTATATTGGTTTTACATATTTCATACAAAGCAGCAAGCCTAAAAGCTGTGATGCCTTACAAATTTAACTATCTGATAAATTAGAAATCAGAAATATTGTATATACACTTATAAATCTAGAAGCTAGTAAGACGTTCAAGCAATCTTAAGTTTACCTATCAAGAAAGAAACTCAGATTAAGGAGTCTGATTAACTCTGGCCTACATGTCCAGTTTCACAGTTGTACTTAAATGAATTACTTAAATATTTAACTTATCTCATTTTAAATTAAGTTCAAATGAGGTTCGCACGAGAAATCCAATAAAAGAGCATCAAATTATACAGGAGGAGCATGTAGTCAGCATTCTCATTGCACATCGCATCGTCGGGCTGCAATCGAATTAATTAAATTTAAAATGCTTTTTTTTCGCTTTTTGCTGTCTCTTATATGCAAATTTATTGGTTTTTACTGCTCTTCAATGAGCTGTAATAAAAGTGCTCTTTTTAACTTTCAATTGGCATTAATGGCTTGAGAAGACCACACAAAAGTCAACTAACGAAGCGCTAATTAAAATAAAAGTATAAATAGATGCAATATTGAATATTAAAAGTGAGTTAAGTTCTTATTATATTCATATGTTATTATACTCTGAATCGATTAAAAATGGGTAAGGTAAGGTGTAGCAGTCAAAACTTAATTATACTTCTCTCACAAATACGTCTGCCTATTTTATTTTATTCACACGGATTGCATTCTTCTACTTCAAGCTGGTGAACGATATCGATATCATATGTTAAGTACAGAGTTGCATGTTAAGTTACAGATGTTATTTTACAGTCTTAATACTACACTAGTGGCCTCCCACAAAAGGTATAATGGTTTGTGCAAATTTATGTAACAGGCGGAAGGAAGCATCTCCGACTCCATAAAGTATATATATTCCGGATCGGAATCAATAGCAGAGTAGATCTATCAGAGATCTATAAGGTAGATAGACTCTTTTAATATAGGTTCTCGTATACCTGGCGCAATTCAAGTTTTCTTTATTTTATCGATAACTGCCACAGTTTCTCGAATATCGATATATTTCAATTTCAGACAGCAATAAATGCCACAATTTTAAAGGCAGTTTCTTCTAATTAATACATAATATGCATATGCATATCGGTGACCAACTGCCTAAATTTCAAGATCGGATAAGAAACACTCAAGTTACGGTCGAAAATATATTATCATATTTATCATTTCGTATGTATGTATGTATATGCACGTGTTCGTAGCTAACCAGTTCGGGCTTTTGATTAAAAATTTGCGCTGCCTTAGTTTCTTTTTACTCTGTAGTCCCTGTGCCTGCCTCAAGAAAAGATTGCTCCTACAGACCAGCTCACATTTGGGTGTAACACTTTTAAAATACAAATTTGCCAATAAAACTAGAATATATTTAACAGCTGGGTTCAGGGTATATCGTAGTGAGCTCACTCGACTACAGCATTCTTTGTTGTTTTTGAAAGGAAAGACTTAACTTGGAATATAAAGTAATTAATAAATCTAACACAGATTCAGACATTTTATAGCGGAGTCTAAATGCATAAAGCACGAATTGGTTATTGGTATTTTTAACACTATTTATTCACTTATATTAAGAAAAATAATGGCTTTGTTGAAATTGAATTACATCGAATTGTGAATGTGAATCATTGATTGTGAATCAATGTAAATCACCAGCTGATATTTCAATAAATAACGAGCTCTAACACAAAAAGTTACGCAAAAGCTTATTCCATGAAGAGGATATAATGTGTCAGTCGCACACTCCAACAATATGACATAAATTTCGCACTGGCGCACATCAATCATAAAGATAGATATTTATTAGCTCCTTAAAGTACCCGCTCTAGTGGGGTTATATATGAAACAGTGGCTATTTTGCGCCTTGTTGGGCGCTTAGTTTTGTTATCAAAGTATAGTAAGTGGCATGATTTTTATAGTGACTATTATTTTATATGACGATTAAATAAATTTTCAATAGTGTGGTAAACTTATGTTTTTTATCTATTAATTTTTTTCACTCGCACTCTGCAACTCACGCTTTATTTCTGACTTCTTAAAGTTACGCAATTTATTGATTCTCTCAATTGTACATATTAAATCTGCTATAAAGCGAAATTTAAGCGACCAAATTTACAGTATTTAGGGTTGTAAATGTAACCCTTGACAAGTGACAAACGCATTTCCAGAGATGACGACATTTAGAGCGCCTCTTATTCAGTTTTATTGTTGTTCTGTTTTAATTAAAATCGTGTCGAATTATTGTATGGACGTGGTGAGTATGCCAACTCAAAAATAACCCTCGTCATTGCGCCCTGGCGTTTATTTATAATGCAGAAAAGCGTGACTTTGTATTGAATTAGATTCAGTATAAACTGTAGTAACGACCCATGCATGTACTTAGGTAAATCAATGTTGAGTTGAAGTTGAGTTTGGGTTTGCGGTTCAAGCTTGGCACTTCCACAACAGACAATAATTGGAAGGCATATTTTACAATAATTACACCGACAACTCGTCAACAACTTTAGCATATAACTGTATTAAATTGGGTTCAAAATGCTATAACTGAAGTAAATTTATAAAACTTAACAATGTGTTGATTTATATATATATATGTTATGGATTACATCTGAAATAGTATATTTACAAAATATTATTAATTGTTTGTATAGGCGATGAACTAACTATGACAAACTCATAACAGGCTCTGCCTTCGATGCGATGTAAGCTTCACAGTATGTATATTTTATGAGGAAAACAAAAGGGCGGTCCCCTTCCTAAAACTCTATAAGACTCATTAAGGATGCTCTCCTGGAAATCGGTCAGTCTCACATTGATGATATTTCTGCTCATTGACCTGTGGCTTGCTGCCTTAAGGCATGACTTGTTTGAGCTGGGAGTGGACAATCAAACCGAAATGCCTTTGGCCTGGTTGCAGCAGCACCCCCTCAAATCTAACAACCATTGCTGGCAGACAATGCAGTGCAACTTTGTGCAACTGATATTTCACAGTCTTGTGACGCTGCTCGTCTACAATTTGGTTCTTATTTTGATTGGGTAAGGGTTGATTATGTAATTCACTATTGACATAAACAACAGAATTCTCATTTTAAAGCTGGCATCTTCACAAGAGCGTTTCCTGCAGAGCTGAGCGCATGATATTGGTTATACACCCTATTACTCGAAAATTAGAGCCTGCTCCACTCGTTCTTGCAACTACTCAAGAGACGCCACCTTTGCGACCGGCTCGTTCTAAGCGGCGTACAGCGCCAAAGCCTCCGCCACGTCGATTACGTAACACTTCTGCGGCATATCCCAGCCAGAACGATCCCTTTTCAACAGTGCAGGTATGCTGCTATCCGGATCAATACGAGAGTTTGCGCAGAAATCTAAACTGTGTCCTCGAGGGACTGCAGCAGTCAGCCGTATCTCTGTCTTTTCCTCGGTCCAACTGCGCTTTACCGCTTCCGCTTTGCAATACTTCACGCTTGAGTGAATTATCCTCCCAGTCATCATCGACTCGTTTGAACGTGGAACTGCCAAAGCACAAAGCCAAGTCCCGAAAATTGTTTCGTAAGCTGCTCAAGCGACTGGCCAAACCCTTTGGAAAAAAGGTAGGAAACGCAGTTTGCATAAGCAGAAGCAACAACAACATCAATAACAGCTGCAACAAAAATGGAATGCTCCATCCCATCTGGCGATGTTTTAAATTACGATCCGGTCGCAAGCAACAATTCGAACTTCAATTGCCATCAAGTAGTAGTTCGGAGTCGAATTGCAGCTCCTTTTGTTTATATGCCCATTGAGCACTGACGCCCATCTGCATTGGGATTATAAGTGCAAATCTCAATTCAGGCGGTGTATATATTTTTTACTTTATTTTACTCAAAAAAAGTATTAAGAAAAGACTTCTTACCATCCAATTAATTTAACATTATATATTTATACATATATTTCTAACCATTGGCATATATTCGATTCTTTATTTCTTATCTGTACCACATTTGAGCTACAAATTAGATTTAAATAATGTATGCTCAGTATATTTACACACAATAGCATTGGGGCATGTGCCTCAGCTGAAAGCCGATTGCCCACACATTTTGGTCAAATTCATTTAAGTCAAAAGCTAAATCGGGAAATGAGCACTTAAACGTCGAAACCAAATTGCTTGAGCCAGAGCCGAGCTGTGATTTTTGCTCCCTAATTTGGCATGTAATGCGTGTAAAGGCATTAGGCCTTGCTATTGAGTTGGTTATTGTCATGGGCATTTCCTTTTGGCATTGGCATCTAAAGGATGTGTGGGCTCATAATCTTGACGCCCAAGAGCAGAATGTTTGATACACCCCGCACATGAATGCATTTAATCCACTTTTATTTCGGCTTTGGGGCCTGCGACCCTTAGTTGTAATGCTGATTGTGTTGACACATTGACTGTTGTTGGCGAACTGGTTACTGAATATTTAAGGGGCTCTCTGGTCGTTGTTACCTTCCCCAAACTTAGCCCAAATACATAAAAATTCAATTTGATTTGTACAAATTGACCAGCACGTTCTCCCAATCATTTATACACACACGTGTATGACGAATCCACATTTATCTGTCTGTCCAAATTGTGTTGCAAGCGAAAGCTAAAAAGTTTGATTTTCTTTTCTATGTAACATTGATTACCTGGAGGTTCAACTCTAAGTTTTTGGCGGGCTGTCAAGTTTTCAAATATTTTTTTGTTTGCAAATGCTGCTTTGTGAAGTCTAATGCTCTAAGCGCTCTACTTTCCTCAAGTCAAACTTCTTGAAGTTGCTGTATGAGATTTTGAATTCATCGCAATAAATAAAATTGTAAGAATAAAATTTGAATTTTTATGTGGTTTATGTTTATAAGCAATAAAAATATCCCAATATATTCACTTTTTATGACGCTAACTGAATTTGATTTAATTCATATTTTTATGATTTAATTTACCACGTTCAAAGTCTAAGAACTTTGATTATATCCGCTAAGCAATTTTTTATTTTCGTTCAAATATCGTTATTTAAAATTTTTTATTGCTCGTTAAACTGAATTGCAAGCTTCTCAATCCTTTAACATCAAATATAGCTGTTGGAAATAGAAACTAAACTGTCTGCCAGTCGAATTTTCTACATATTTTTATGTATATTCATTTTGTATAGGCCACTTGTAATTATTTATAGGTTTAAGACTTGTACACATCTATATCTCCAAGCGGAAGTGGCTGCATTAGAACTGCACCAAAGAGTTTCGCAAAAAAAAAGTATTTTATGAAGGTGTTTGCAAATTCTTAAATATGTCTGTCGTGTCAGTAAATACTGAAATTATTTTTTCGAAAACTGCAGCCAATAAATGTCTCTAGCATGTAAATAGCTTTTGTTAAAAAATGCTGAAACTACAAAAGTAAAAACACAGCTGTTATTAGCCATTAAAGTGATGCTAGTTAGTCCTAGAAGGACTTAAAGACTTGACTTTAACTACATTTTGCAGAGTTGCAATTTTGTGGTAACCCTTTTTAAGCCCTTTGTTGGGTACCACGCACGTGTTATCCTCACTTTATGGTTGTCCAAATTAACACTTTGTCGAGATGTTCAGATTTGCATAATTAAATGAGCCGCTTGCCAACGAAACATTTCATAAATGCTGTCCCGAGGGTTACATTTGCCACCTTTGTGTAAACAGGAGCAGCATCTTCCTTTGAGGGATATTTATATATATATATATATATGTATGTGGCTGGCTATAACTGATAGTCGTGTTTACACAGTTATCATTAACACCCAACCTATTCCTCATAATGTGCTAAAAGTGTGAATGGTCGTCTTAAATCAGGTGCCCTACAAAAGATGTTTATTTGCACTGGGATATTTTAGGCTTTTCTGTTTGTTAAGTAATATTAAATCAGGCTATTTTTGCAACTGTGGTTTCTGTTTTTTTTTTCCAATACAGTTTAAATTTATTTCTATTAAGAATAAGAAGCTTTAAGTTTAGAGCTATTTGGAGCTATGCAACCGCACAAAGTGGCAACGGCAAAATTAAATGCACACAAATTTGTCATTTAAGTTTAGTGTGTGGCAGGTTTTGATAAATCTGTTTGCTCGTATGTGAAATATTGTGCCACTTTTAGATCAACCCAACAACAGAAGCTGAAATAAACTTCCTCTCCGAGCTAGTTTGACATAATGTTATAAATGGAACGTCTTCTCACAAATAAAAACTAATTTAAACTGCTCATGTTTGTCTGGAAGCGAAGATCTCCGAGAGTCTAGCTTTAACCCCTGGGTTTATTTTTATTGTAAAAAGAAAAAGAGATGAAATTTATTGAAATTAATTTGTCAATTTAAAGAACTGATTATGATAAAAGTATTTTGATGCCTTCGATTTAAACCTCTTTTAAGTCTACAAACATTTACGTATACTTGTAAAATATATTTATAGAATGTATACTTACTTATTATTCACACAGTGCGCTCGACTAAACTTTCGGCATATATATGTACATACATTAATGCATAGACATAAAACATTATTTTAACGAGCAAAAAATATGTGTTGTCATAACAGTAAACAGACATAAATAATAATAGCCGCAATATTAATGAGAAAATGCCAAAATGGGTCACATGAGACCACAGGCTGCCGAGATTCCTCAAACATTTGGAACATTTGTGTGTTTTGCTCCACTCCAATTAAGAGGCGTATTTTTAAATATTAATCGAGCGGATAAATCGTCAAGAAAGAAAGCACAAAACTTGGACATAACAGAGAAAACAAGAAAATATAAATATAAAACTCATAAAAGGAAATAATTTGAATTCAAGACTTGTACTCAGAGTGTAAATATTGAATATTTTGGGTTCTTGTGTGCGCAAGAAAAAAATAAGGCAAATGTCATGTATTTTGGCTCTTGTAATAATTTAATTTAAAAAGTAACAATTTCATTATCTTTTTTACTTTTAAGTTATTATATTGTTATTTACTATGCGTTGACTTTTGTGCCAAAGTCGTCTGAGTATTCGAATGCGACCAAGTTAACAGACAGAATAACAGAACTATTATAACTTGGGGTTTATATTTATTCAGAGTTTTGTATTTAATACAGAATATATGTCCGCTTCATGCGACTTATACTACGCGATTCAAGCGACCAAAAGCAACTGTCTCTTACTTTATGTAAGTAGCTTAAACATATCATCGAAGAAGGTCTTGATCATAAGGAACTGACAATTACCGTTGCTCGCGGGCAACAACAGATTAAGACTACAAGACGGGAATGCAAGCTGCGTTGTACAGTTATTTCCAACAAGAACTAATTGGTGCAGACCAGGGTTGCTTTCTCAAGGAGCAGCAGTAGGCTAGTCAGTTGTTATGTTTGTGTGTTGTGTTTTTTGCACACCTCAAAAAATGCTGAAAATGTCACTCAATGAATTTATGCAAATCTGCAATGTCCTTACCCTGCCTTGGCTCAGCATGCGTTATTGAGCGTCAAAGTGCGGCAAATGGTTGCCCAGTACTGCAGCTACACATTTACGCTGGCTATGCAAATATGCAAGTCCGCCGAAAGACAGCGAAATCAAATGGATACGTAGAAGTGAAACACACAAAGGCACATGAAATCGACTTTTGCCGACAGCAGCAAAAACCAATGACACATTTTTTAAAAGCAAACGCAAAAGGGCTTTTAAAGCAAGCTTTTGCTTGTTTGTTTTCCATTTTTGCGCTGAAAATGGAAAAAAATAAGAATCGGGGAAAATATGAGCCAATACTGACTCTAAAAAACAATAAAGCCATATATATCCCGCAATTTTAAGGCTACAGTCACCAAATTTGGTTGGTAGGTTGTTGGCAATGTCCTCCAAAGACATATGCATATGCCACGTCTACCTCCGCAGCCCCCAGGCCACCACCCCTAAAAATGTTAAATAACCATATCTTCCTCAGTTTCTGAGTTAGACGCGTCAAATTTCTTAGGGGTATTACTGATAGCCGTCTTTAAGAACCGATAAAAAGTTGTTTAGCGCCGAAGGCCATATTTCGGAGAGTGTACATCGATAAAGTCACCAAACTTGGAAGGTAACTCGCTGGGAATCTCCTCCAAGGGTCGTACTCGTAAATAGGAACTTTGGCCTTGGAAATCATGTTCTCCACAATTACTGGTTACTGGTAACTCTCTTAAGAGATCGATAAAAAGTTGGATGGCCACGCCCACTCCGCCTCTCTAAACCGATACACCTGCTGGTGTAAATCGATAAGACTATATATCTCTTTGAAAGGGAAACTTGGACAGTACTTCTTGGCTACACCCAGCCTGTTCTTTGCTGCTTGTTATCCGCTGGAATAACTTATGGTATCAAATTATTTCTCAGTCGGTTACGCCCGACTGCAACGTTTTCTCTTGCTTTTAGTGATAATTATATTTTAATGTACAAAAATTAAATGAAAATGAGTGTCATCTCAAAATAAGATTTAGTTTTGGAATTAAACAATTTTAAAGTTCAATTGAAATTTACAACAAATATTTTCTTTCTTTGCAACAGGCCGAAATATGCCGAAAAGTCAACTAATCAAATTCAAGCAGTTGTATTTCGTATTCAGTTGTTTACATTGCCTGTCTCTTGCACTTTAAATAAGTGCAACTGAATTCATTTCATGTGAAATATTACAGCATCGTGTATACGCCGACTGCCAACCGCAACGTGACATGCATAGAGCTAGCAAAATGCAGACACAACCTCAGCAAAAGCGGCTGCCATATTTTTTATTCACATATTTGCTATTCCAGAGACACTCGCAGCGAGACTGGCAACTGTAGCTCTTACATTTTAGTGACATCTGAAAACAAAAAGTAGACATATTCATGGTTTTGTATGCAGCTTTCCGGCTAAGTCATCTGGATAATTGCAGTGCGACGTGCTGCGTAGAACGTGAAAAACTTGGGCATTCAACGTGATTTAAAAGCAATCAAAGACACTCAAAGCAATCATCTTTATGGGTATATATACATGTGCATGTATCTTTTTACTTCTCGTGTGATTCAAACCTTCTCCTTTTCGCAAGTTGCTTTTCCAGTTATTTACAAAGCTACCAAAAATATGACATATCAAAAGATAAAGTTCCATTTAATGAAATTACACATTAAATAATTTGTGATTAATGTATGTTCAAACAGATCTCTTACGCGAATTTTACTTGTGTTTTCACAACGTTCAAAAGTATGCTACAAAAATTATTTTCAATTTAATTTAATCGTTAAAATAATCATGATGTTTCTTCGGTACATGCACCACGGTATATTTACTTCATCTCATAAATTGCAGAACGACCATGTGTTGAATGAATTTAATTCTACGGATAACATCTGGCTTAGACTAAAAAAACGACACATCCTAAGCAAGATAGTTGAAACTTTTAACCCCGAGAGTGGTATAAGTTAACCAAGTTCTATGTGTATGTGTCTCGTGTGTGTACAGGCGACTGCTGACAGGGTTAACAATATTAGAGCACATTGGTCAGTGGTGAGTTTCAGGTCTCTCCTTAACCGTGGCTAAAAGTCAAAAGTAGCCTAATCGTCGTTCCTGAAACGCATGAATGCACAATGAGTGCATTTTAAACGTGATGTGCTTCAGCTAACGAACAACTGCACAAGGCATTTACAACAAATGTGAAATATCCCAGTATTTGTTAAGATTAATTCCCATAATAGAGATTCAGGCACTAAATACATGGCCGAAATAAAATGTTTGGGCTGTTGTACTTAATTCACATAATTCAACTACAATCAGCAAGAACAAATAATTAATAGTAACAATTTACCCATTTAATTGTAATTTAATTTCTTTGTACTCCTTCAAAGGTTCAAATCATTGTTGAATTTGTCATTTATTTATGTGAAAAGGCGTTTAAATGCAGTTTCAAATTTACGAGTTCACTCACAGCTGGTAACTTAGTTTCTGCATTTTGGCGCTGACTGAAGGTGAAGCATACAATTTCTGTTGGCCTTCAAGTTTTGCTCCCGAAATTCGAATTTGATACGAAACTGCAAGTTTCGCAGTTTATTTATTCAGTGAGTATGAAGCCTTAACATGAGGAGTGACGATCAATGAAACATGTCAACGAAACAGAAAGCAATTAACAAAAATATACAACTGTTATTTACAAAAATAACAATTTTCAACAACAATAAACACAACTGTTTGCCATACTTCAATTTCAGTCTGTGGTCGGAGAGCGCAATCCAAAACCGCACCAAAGTTCAGATGTACAACAATATTTTAAAGGCATTTTAATAACAAATTGGATATGTGTATATGCTCTACATATATGATATATAAATTTAATATATTAATCAGTTCGTATTACAAATTGAATTTCTCGTGCCGTTTGACTTTTGTATATCTAGTGTTTGTCACAACTTGCGGTTGCTTTTAATAAATACTTGCATAAAAGGATGTTAACATGCAGCTATAAATATTTGGAATAAGTTGGACAAATTAGTAGTAAGATGAAATATTAATAATTAAATTGGCTCAACTAAAAATTGGCAATGTAGTGCATCAGTTTGTCGATATAGCAATAATATGTGTTAGTTTCACCAATTAATAAAAAGAAACACATGTAATTTACACCCTAATTAATTTTAGTCAAATATTGGAAGTAGACACTGATAACACATGACTCTTGAACCAAGCTCTGTGAAAGTGTGGCACAGCACGAGAGAGCTAAACAACTCTCGTTTCATAGTGTCTTATCTGCAGCAAAAGTAAATACAACACTATGCGTAATATATATATACAAGTTTATTTAATCCGAGAAATAAAAATGTGAGCATGATTTCAATTATTTTGACTATTGAGCATGGCTGGGTAGACTGTTTGTATTTAGTTTTGTGTTGCGAGATCAAAAGAACGGTTGTCAAATACGAGCGGCATAAAAAAGTCGAAATGGCGAAAATGTTAATTGTTTTATTAATTGTGACAAAATTATATATAACAATGGCACAGGCGAATTTTGTCGAAATTTTAAGACTTCAAAATCAACTAAAAAACTCATACCGAGACATTGAGAAATTGCAAGCCATATATAATAGGAAAATTAAAGAAGCAATTAATTCGGAAATGGAAACCACAATGCAAGACCTAAAGACGAAAATAAACGACGAACTGTCAAAGTGCCGAGATCAGAATTCTGCCTTCGAAGAGCTAAACAACTATTATATTGGGCAAATCACTAAGTTGCGGGAAAACTTAAACGTTGCCAACTTGGAGGAAAAGGATCGACAGATTGAAGAAGGCCTTGCGACAATTTACAGCTTAAAAACACTCGTTAGCGATCAGGCCAAGCAAATAGAACTTTTAAAATACGATGTGTCAGAGAAATCACAAATAATCGAAAATATGCACACCAAAACAAAAGAAATTGCTTATAAGATTAACAATTTGGAAGAATTTGAAACTACGCCGCAAGTGGATTTTGAGGCTAGCAGCTGTCTGCCATTTGGCAACTCCAATGATATACATTTAATAAAGGTGGCCGACGGAGATGCGTTTTTCGTGCCCTGTGATTCTCGACTAAGCGGCACCGGATGGACCGTTGTGCAGCGTCGGATCGATGGAAGCGTTAAGTTCAATCGAAACTGGCTGCAATACCAGGAGGGATTCGGCAATTTGAGCGGCGAGTTTTTCATAGGCCTCGAGAAGTTACATCGCATGACAACTGCCCAGCCCCACGAATTATACGTGCACCTAACCGACTTCAACAATGAGAGCAGCCACGCGTATTATGATAACATAATTGTGGGCCCCGAGAGCGAGCAATATGCACTGAGCGCTCTCGGCGAGTACTCTGGCAATGCTGGTGACTCGATGCGCGATAATGAGCATCAGAAGTTCACAACCTTTGACAGGGATAACGACATGAGCGAATTTAACTGTGCCGAGACTTGCTTAGGTGGTTGGTGGTACAACAACTGTGGCTTGAGGTTGGTCAACAATTAAATGATTTATTTTGTTCGCTTTCTTATTTTGTTTGGTGTCTCGCTTTCAGCAATCTCAACGGACAGTACACAGAGCGTGATGTGTATTATGATAACTCCGAGTATGGCATTTTTTGGGACGAGTGGCAGGGACCGGGGTATAACCTGAAATCAGTGCAGATCATGATCAGGCCAAAGTTGGAATCAATTAAGTGAACATTTCATATACACGAATCCCTTTCTGTTATTCAGTGGAATATATTAAATGTTAAACATTGTAAACGTTTCGTTTGTAAATATATTAGATTTTAGTGCTGTGACTGCAAATCGTTGATCAAATTTATATTATATCAGATTGTTTTTGATAGCTTCACGTTTCTTAGGAACATTTTTAAGGTGTCATATAGCCCACAAACCTTTTATTATTCTAGCAGTCTAGCTATGGAAAATAATACAGTCAAATTATTACCCTTTCATCGTACAACTTTCATTTCTGCAACATGTAAAGTCTGCTTGATAACCGTGTCACAAGCAACGGCTAATATCCAACTGGGACAAAGGTATTACGCCATGTGGCACGTCCTTGTAGCTACGTGCCACAATGCGGTCATGCTTAGTGGCAACAACAATGGGAAGACAAAAGGTCATGCGAACAGACGACGAGCATTGTTGCAACAACCCCATGGGATTTTTCATCATTCGACCTCGTTACAGCTGTTACTTCATTTTTGTGGATACGGTTAGAAATAGGCCAGGAATAGGCTTATATCTCCTCAGTGACAGGTCGCTAGCAATGTGTCATCAATCAAATGTCAATTAGGTTAGATATTCACCACCTTTGATAATACGAGTTTTACCTTCAAACCTGTTTTGACTACCCAATCTCATTTTTGTATTTGCCCATATTGCTCATACGCCTCGTAAAATGAATAAAGAGCAACACAGCTTTTCCACTTATATTTGCTCTTGCCTTGAATCACTTTCGGCGAGCTAAGTGCATAAAAAATGTTTGACATAAGATGAAAATATGTGAATTCAACTGCAAAATATAATAACACTTGCAAATAGTACATTTGTTTAAGATAAGAAGATAAAGCTGTTGATTTAAGGACAACTCAAATAACGCGAATATCCACTATAGTTATATAATAAAAAAGTGCTCGTGCTCAGACGCAAATTTATATACATGTACTTGGTCTTATATAAATATTCAATAACAGTTGGGCACATATCGTGCATATGTAAATAAGCGTAAAATCGAATTTTTGCACGTACGTTGATTTTGCAGGCGGCAGTTGGATCCTTTTATTCAGTTGTTCGTCTGCCTGTTTTCAGTTGTCTGTTGGCTGCCGAACTCGAAATTTGTTTACCTTTCACTTCAAGTTTCCCATCAACGCCCTAAGCAGATGAAGGGAGACTGGCAGGCAATTGATGCAATTGCTCTTTTGATCTGTTTACCATTCATTTGCTTCATCAAAAATGAGCAAATTGGGTGACAGGTGCAGTAATACATCTCAGCTTTAAGAAGAAATTGTTTCCTATTCATAATGCAAGAATTTTCAATTTAATCCTATCTTATCCTGCTCATTTTGTATCTAAGAAAGATAAAAAAATTCAGCAAGTAACAAATAATGTGTACACATTGAGAACAATTATATTAATGTAACTTTAATTTGAAGAATTTAGTGGTGTTGAGCAAGAGCAAGTGAATAAGTGCTGTGCACTGTCAGATTTCTAATTGATATTTATGAGTAGGCCCAAACTATATAAGTGGATAAATGTGTTGTCAGCTGAAATGTGTAATGCATGAACGTCCTATTTACTTCCTCTTATATCCACCCTTACTTAAGCAGCCCCGAAGGCTGCGTCAATTTTAACAGCAAACACATCCGCATGCATACTTATAGTGCGAGTAGTGTAAGGAAGTGGTCTGTAAAAACTTTTCTACAGCTCGAGAAAGCAAATAAATGAAGTCCTACATTATGCTACACAGTGCTACTTAGATTTAATGTACACGTTGGACTAGAATTTTAATTACTTTTCTGGGAGAGTTGCGAGAACAGCTCATTTAATGCCTTGAACCTTATGAGTGAATAATTGTTTATGGTTTTTCTGGTTGCTCGTCATATGGAAAGTTTCATTTGCATCTACAAGTCAGCACAACTTCGAAAACTTCAAAAACTTATTTAGGCCAATCTTTACGTAAATGCAAGGCACGCAAGCAACTCAGAAGTTGTGATGGGATTCAGCTCTTGCCAAAAAATGACTTAGTTCGTGGAAATAAGGAAGGCTCGCGGGACTAAAAATACTTTGCAGATAAATTTAAGACAGTTTACAACAAATAGATTTATTTATAGTTAAGAATTTCTCTTATACTATAACTATAATAAATGCACTTTGCCACAGCTGTTTATTGTCGTCAAAGTATAAATGTTATTAAGTATTATAAAATATAGATTTATTACAGGTCTAAAGTCAGAAGTAATACATTGTTTGAATAGCAAATCAATATTCTGCCTTTTTTCTTTATTCACATTTTATTTTAATATTTTACCATACATATTAGCCTGAATTCAGACTTGTTATTTGCAGCTGAAATTATTTTACCCGAATTGTATCCTATCAAGTGTTAATCTGCTTCTTATTTCTATTTTGCTAAACATTTGCATGCGAGCAATTAAAGCCAAATTAAAATTTGATATTTTTTCCAAACAACATCAGAAAGGTAAACAAATTTTTGATAACAACGGAATTTGACTGCAACTTTTAATTGCTTCATGTGGTCAAATATCTGCACAGTGAGACAAGTTTGGTCTGAGACAGAAAGAATGTTTTTGATGGTAAAGTAGTCGACAAAAACAGGTATCATTTGCAGAAGTTGATATTATTGTGATTTTAAAGTACTGTTATTTTATAATTGTTGACAATTGGAATGCTGCAATTCAATCAATTAATACGATTCTCAAAAATTATGTTAACTGGGGATAGTCATTAATTTGTTGTAAAACCAATTTTATGTTAATTAATTGTTTTTAAACGCTTTTATTAGTTTTTAAAGAAAATGCAATCAGTAACTATTTGTTCAGCCTATAAAAATCAGAGTAAAAAGTTTAAATAAATAACGCATTGCATTCACATTTTGCAGGCATTTTGCTTATACGCTAAACATGAAGTGAATTTATTATTTAAAAGATTCAATTCACAATGCCATATCTGCATTGTCCCATGGGCGTGGTTCAACATGCCAAAATATATTTACACTTTAAGTAAGTGTACTTAAGTCGTTGTGTTCAAAATTAATTTATCACCTTGTCTGCTACATTATCATCCCAAGTACTTATTTGAATAGCAGGCAATTTGTAAACATTGATGATATTGCCATGGGGATTATTATTGCACATGATAACATATACATTCCAACAAAAGCTCATTAAAATCTTTCGCTGTATATATTGCATAATGTAATTTTTTACATAAATTCATAATGTTTCCCCAGTCTCATATATTTCCATGGAGCATCTGCAAACTGCCTGAAGCATTTTTTTTAAGTGCACTTTGGTGTTTTATTAAAATTGTTAGATGGTTGCCGTACAACATTGCGAAATTGCTGATATGCGTCTTGTAAGCTACACTGTGATTAATTTTGCAATCTCTAACTGAATTGAGTTTGCGTAAATAATATTGACAGTAATTGCGCCCACAAAGCGGAATTACAAAAATAAGATTATTTCACAGCAGTAAATGAAGTCTGTTTTCGGATATAGAAACAGTTGTATTTTATTTAGTACCCTACATTCATATTCCGGTGTGTATAGCTCATCGCTTAGTTCAATTTATTGGAGATGCACTTTGAAGTACTTTTGGGCTTTGGACAATAAGTTACGGCAAAGGCTAACCACAGTAAATAACAACTACCCACCATCTGAGCTCACATGGCTGAACCTGATATTGCGCAGGAGCGCTTCTGATAGCAACTGTGTATAATTTGTGTGACAAAGTTTGTCATGCGAACTAATGCAGTTTGTGCTGCGGTTCCACGCATGCAGCCTGCCCCAAAAAGTAATCTGCCATGGAACAGAAATGAAACTGGTACTGGTTGAGAGGAGAGCTGAAATATTTGGAAATTTGCATGCTAATGAATGGTGTGAAACCGTTCTAAATTATGAAAGAGAGCCATGTGCAATGTGCGTGAGGGCTTACATATGTATGGAAAGGCTGTCGGTTATGAATTTTCAACATCCTCAAGGAAAAAATGCGACCCGGTTGCAAGCAGCACACCGCAGATTATTACTATTATTTTATCATTTGCACGCAACAGTCAATAACTAAAAGCATTGTTAGTTAATTTCAAATTTTGGGAAGTATTGCATCACATGTAATAAGTTAAATTTTAATTTCGATTCAATAGCCGCAAACCACTTTATATTTTTTTAACGATAGTTAAAGACACAAATAATTAATGCATTACATACAACATGTATCAGAAGTTTAATCTACAAGAAATTGTTTCAAAAACGTAATTAAAACTATACAAAATGGGAAATTGTGGTAGCTATAGAAAAGCATTTGAACAACATGATTATTTATAGTATTCCTCAAACTTGTAACATATTAGTCACAGTTTAGTGAAATTAGTAATATTATGTGATGCATTTTTCAGCCCGAGCATCAGCGTCCTCGATAGTATAGTGGTTAGTATCCCCGCCTGTCACGCGGGAGACCGGGGTTCAATTCCCCGTCGGGGAGAGGTGTTGTTTTTTTTTTTAATTTTATTTATTTATAACATTTCGCATTTTCTTATACAAATTACAAAAAAAAAAGCCGAAAAGCTTTGAGTTGCAACCAAGACAGCCATTTATTTGAAGCTCTTAGAGACTCTTTAAATTCAGTTTTATTAGTGGCAAGCTGAATGGATAGTAAATTGTATTTCTTATAATTTCCCATTCTTTACTGTTTTCATTTCACTGCTCTGATAAACTTTACCACTGCCAATTTTCCCTCACGAAACTTTATTCTGGTTGCGTATAAATTGCTGTCAATTAGTTTAATTGCACAGCTGTGGGGTGTTTTGTGCTTTATGTGTCCCTCAGTTAGCACTCTTCAATTGCTGCTAAGTTGTGGAACTATTGTGCAATAGCTGTTAAGCTGGAGACATATGCGAATCTTGAAAAATAAAATCAGGCGATAAGCAACTTCTGGATATATTCTCTATTTATATTTTATCATGAGATTAATTTTTATTGCTGATTATTTGTTAACTATAATTG